CTTGGCCCTGGTAATATGCATGCCAACCCACTGGCATGGTTTACTGGCACACTGAAATGAAACGGGGGCGGCATAAAGTTGATGTACCCATGCTTTTCTTGCTATGACAGCAACATTTCAACCTAAGAAATGTTACAGATACTGGAGATGTCATACTGAAGGTAGAGTTTAGACTGGGAGCACAGTGAAGATTATGACGGCCTATAAGGAAGATTGGCTTGGAATTGAGAGAAGTCTAACTGGAGCAAGCACAAAGTTGGGAGGCGGGCAGGATTAAAGCTGTGGGTACTTAGAGGAAAGGGGGACAGAAAGAACTTGTTCTGTAAGGCACCAATCTCCTGCCAGTGGTAAGCTATCTCACATTAATTATCCAATTATTTTGACTATTTTGAGCAATTCCAAAGAAGGAAATGATGGGAAAACCCTGCCTGTGTTTGAAACACTTTAGTACAGTACAGGACTTACAAACAACAGGATTGGTAATGTCTCTCTTACAGACTGTATTAGGAAGTCTTCCTAGTGTCTGATCATCCAGTAGTACTGCCAACGACTGTAACTAACAGTGAGTCACTGACTTAAGGGAATACTTAAACAAAGCTGTAAAGCCCAGCAACACTGGACAGGATGTGGACATCACTTCCTGGATTGAGGCATAAACTGTCCACACTTCTTAGAACCATTAGACAGAGACTAAGCTGGCTTTAGTCCATTGACACAACGCAGTTACAACAGCTCTAGTCTGGCAGAGAACTGCTAATGGCTGCTTACACTACTGAATGCCTCACGCACACTGTGGTTCTGTTGCTGGAAGATTCGCCATTCACTGACAGCAAAGCAAGGCACAACATGACTTTACCAGCAGGCTATAATAAAATTATTCTGAACTCCTTAAATATCCCCTTGGTGTCACGATGTTCTTCTGTATATCATATTTAGACAAACTGGAAAAGGGGCCTTGTACAGTTTGTGAAACCCATATTCACTAAGTTGTTTTGGTTCTGGCATTTTGCTCCAACAGGCCTGGACTGGACTATTTCCATGGCCTTTTGGCTGTATTCCTCCTCTGCAGCTGAGGAAGGCCAAAGGGCACCGGCTCACCCCCGCTCTTTAGTTCAGTTTCTAGGAAGCTTTATAGAAAGAACAGCAGAGCAGAATCTTCTGTCCCCAACAGCACTATGGCTTGGTTGGACAAAACCTCTGGCTGACTGCCTCTCATACGGACCACGCTCAAACACAAATCTGTGATTCTACTCAGAGGAAAACAACTAATTATCCTCATCACACAATTTGGACAACAGTTGTGCAGCCAATGAGAATTGGAGTGAGTGGTCCTTTTCACGAAAACAAAGAAAACAACAGATGTTTCAGGACTGGAAACAATGTGACGTAATCATTTCTATACTAAGTCATACTGCCAATATTTCCCTACAAATTACGTGAGACAGATACATGGCAATACGTGGTCATCTTAATGTTAGACTGGCCTGGACTGTGCAAGGCTGCAGGCAGGTAAACATCAGGTCAACCCAAGATATCCAGTATAGTCCCTGTGTGTTTGGCAGGGACCTTCGCGTTGGGTTACATCGTGTGAGCAAGTGATACCTTTATCAGTATATATCAGACATATCAGTATCACAAGCATCTAGCCAGCCTCCTAACTCTGTTGTATTGAAGCTGAAACCTGTGTTTGGTTAATGCTATGGATAGGGCCCTTGACATAGTTGTATGTCAACAACACTTAACACGCCATCCATGGCTGTACATGCAGCACCGTCGCAGTGTGGACACTTGAAGGCCTGCCAAGACAGACGAAACACAACATACAGCAGTTCCAACAGCACGGACCAGGGGTGAATCAGTTTGTGTTTTGAATGCAGTTTCAGGGGCACTTTCATCCAGCAGTAAGTTATCTCTAAAGAGACTTCAGCATTGAAATGCAGGCCTGAGTTCCTGTTGACACTGGCACCATAGCTTCACGTATTTCAAATGCACAAGCACTTGCTTTATTTGACTACTACTGGCAAGGTCAGCATGGTTGAAATAGTTACATGCACCGTATCTGTCCGAATAACAAACACATGTGCTCTGATGGTTGAAATATCATGCACACGCGGTTGTGACATTTAACAGCAGACTATAATACTTGTGCTGCCCTATCAGGTCCAGAAGAACTGCATCACTTATTTTACTTTGATTAGTATTACTCATTAATAGTACTTTGTCAATTCTGAATCTTAGCGATTTTTTAAAATATT